ACCATTGAATTCCTATGTAGTTACATATATAACTCCTAAACTTCAATTTTTACATACATACCAATTTTTGTTTGAAAAGGTGTATTTCATTTTTTTAAAGTTAAAATGGGGGTATTTTTAATGTCATATGAATGATTAGGGAGGTATAATTGTAAAAACTAAAATTTAGGTGATGCATGTGTAAATTCATAGGAATTGAGTGGTATGCATGTAAATGCCCCCTACATGTATCTGGAGTTATGAAATATCATATATTGTTATCCTATGTGTCGACATGTCTAAGAAAGCATTTTATAAATACAATTTATGGCAAATCCAGCAAGGTCTAATATCACACTATACTACAGCTAAAATAAATGACAACAAAAAAGAACAAAACCATCAATAATCATTCTAGACAATATTACAGATCTCAGATAATATTGCGTTGTGTATATGATAATTAGTAATATTGTTTAAATAATATTGTTATTTACACAACGCCATGTTTATAATAAAGAAAAGGAAGATTTACATACATACCACTACATTCCAATGTATTTGCATATCTAACACCTAAGCTTCAATTTTAACATACCACTATATTCCAATGTATTTGCATATCTAACACCTAAACTTCAATTTTTACATGCACATTACACACCAACTTAACAATGCATGAAAAGGTGTAGTTCACTTTTTAAAAGTCAAAATGGTGGAAGACTTGGATGGTATAATCATAAAAAGAAAAGTATGGGTAATGAAAGATTTGAGTGTTATAATCGTAAAAAGAAAAGTATAGGTGTTAGATATGTAAATACATAAGAATTATGTAAATGTCCCCAAAGAAAAGGAAGACGAGTGGAAACATACCGCCTCATCAGCCTCACCGGGGAAGGTGATTTTCTGCCCATTCTGCATACCCTTCTCAACTAGAACATCAAGAACCTTCTTTTCCTGGGTAACCTTCTCTCCCTTGCACTGTGGGCAGCGATCTTTATCATTGATGGTCTCCCCAGTTCCTTTGCACTCATTGCAAGGATGCTGCATTTGTTGTATCATAGAGGGACCCAACTGGCGAATCGAGACCTTCATACCTGTACCCTGACAACCAGAACACTTCATTGAAGCGCCCGATTTCGATCCCTTCCTGCAGGACATTAAACAGATGAGAAATTTACTACGTAGCACACAATTCTTATGTATTTACATATCACACAATTCTTATGTATTTACATATCACACACCTCAACTTTCATGTTTACATGCATAGCACTTTGATACTTTAAACCTATGCATGAAAATGTGTATTCCACTTTTAAAAAGCATAATAGTGCTATTTTTTATGTGATATTAAAGATTTGGGTGTAACATGTGTAAATATGAAAGTTCGGGTGTGGGACATAAGAATTAAGGAATAAGTTCAGGTTTGGAACAGGAATCTATTGCAGTGAAGAACATGGTACTTACCCTTTGCATTTCGAGCAAAGAACATTCCGGGAAAGAGAAAGTTTCTTCGAAGTACCATTGTACACATCTTCCAATGTGACTTTGAGTGGGTGGACAACATCCTCTCCCCTCCGCTGCCTGCGACCACGACTGCTCCCGCCACCTACACACCATAATAATCGCATGTTATAAGAGCAAACTGAAGAATTGTTTCGGATAAGAATTCACAAACTTTACAAAAATATCTGAAGAGTTTATTTACCTCCAAAAGGATTTCCACCAAAGAAAGACTGAAAGATGTCAAATGGATCATGGCCAGCACCGCCCCCACCCATTCCTTCCTTGAGTGCATCTTCGCCATACTGATCGTATATATCCCTCTTCTCAGGATCGCTCAAAACTTCATAAGCTTGTGCAAGCTCCTTAAACTGAAAAGCAGCAAGGCAGAACGTTAAGAGTAAAGTTTTAGACGAAAAACTACAGAATTTTATATACTTGCTCAAATAGATACAAAGTACTCGAACTACAAGCGCTAACAACGAGGGACAGTCAGGGAGGGAGCCATGAAAACTTCACACAACAATAAAACCGAAGCATGCATTCAATAAAACAACAACCCTATATAAGGCCAGCCAAGTCAAATATGTTGTTCCCATGGGAAGTTCAAGTTGCTGAGAACGTTATGTTTCTTTGGAGAGTCCTAAAGGATGAGAAAATACTCTACAAAAACGTGCTTATAAAAAGTTAACCTTATAGCTACAAAATTAAGCTCAGCCCTACTTCTAGAGTAGTAGCTGGCTATGAAAAATAAATAAACATCAGTAGATTGTATAGCATTTTACGCATCACAATAGGAGCTAAGATTTTAGTTATAAATATAAATGTGAACTCGTGACTTCTCTAAACCAAAACAATCACACATCAGAGTAATGTCATCAATCATCATCATCATCACGATTTAGTTCAATCCCAACTGTTTGGAAAAATCTTTGTAAATCCACCACATCTATCTGCAGGAGATGGCAGATTTAGTTCATTGACAAAGCAGAGAACAACCGACTAATTTGCTGTGAACTTTCATGCTACCCAAAAAAATCTGTGATCGACAATAGGGTGAGTAGAAGGGTCTCCTTCCCAGAAATCTGACTTTGAATAGAGAGACTATACAATAGTTTTGTTGAAGCTTTTTTGTGAGTTTGTTAAATCAAGATTCAGGATTTTAATGGAAGATTCAAGGCTTTTGTTGGAAGCTAAAATAGGCTTGATTGGGTTCATTGAATACCTTAGATTCGAGTGCTATTGGTGCAAGGCTGAGGTTTTGAGAGTAACTTGGTAGAAGAGAATTGGAATTTCTAGCTTTGTGCTGTCAAAGTTAAGATTAGATTTAGGTGATCACTTAAGTTATCGGGTTGGAGCTTTGTATTGAACTAGACCAATTTAAGGTGCTGGAGATGAAGGTATTCAAAGTCATGGCAACAATAAAGAAACTCCCCCTTCTATCATACATCATAGAATCAAGTAAATCTGGATTAAGGGACAACCCTGCCTACCTCAAAGAGATATTCATGTCGTCGAGCAAGTTCTATGCACCCATGAATCTATGAAAACTTATCTGACAACCATCCCTTTCGAGCCTTCCTACAAAGAAAATATATTTAATCAAAAAGTCTCAAGTGATCTTCAACATTGACATACAATCCACATCTGAAATTATATTCTCTCCACTAGAATGCAGAAGGCCTCAAAAGGGGAATAATGGTCCAAACACATACCAATCTTCACCAATGATTCGGGATACATATAATAGCACCCCTTCCCAATGAAGTTACTACCGATCACCGGGGATTCAATTCAACCTCTTCCACACAGGCTAACATCAATACTCGGCTTAGCAGGTTTTGATGGAAAAAACACCATTGATGAATTTCTTTAGACTTAATATTATCGAGTAACACTCCGCAGATAAGCTCAGAAGGCCAAACATTCTATCATCTTTCTATAAATGTTGATGTTATCGAATAACACTGACATACAATCTTGAATAGATCAAACATTTTTATGGAGTGTTTTCAATCTCTTCCATGTAAGTTAATGTTCTTCCACGTAAGTTAATGTTCTCGAGCAACACTAAGACTGACAACCTTAAATAGGTCAAATATGTTCGATGAATTTCTTTCAACATCTTTTGTATAGGTTAATGTCGTCTAGTAATACTCCAAAAAGCAAGCTTGAATATGTCAAATATTCTCGGATAATTTCTTTTGATATGTTTCATAAGGTCTAATGTTATTGAATAATACTCCAACAAAGAAACTCGAATGGGGCAATCATTCTTGACAGATGTTCTTCAACCACTTTCACCTAGGTTGAGTTGTGAAGTAATACTCCAATGAATAGGCGAGGATATATAAAAAATATTTAATTCAACTTTTTCCACATTGGTTCTCTAACAAATGACATCAGATACATAAATTGAGTTTCCTTCAATCTTCCACACGTGTTAACTTCATAGAGTAGCAATTTGAGAACAACCTCGAATATGTTAAATATCTCAACATTAATGAAGAGATTCTCAAATTGTGTAGCCCAGCTACAACCTGACCTACAATATTAAAACAATGCCATCTATATAACATCATCACACATCCACAGAAGATAGCTCTACTTTCTTTAAAGAGACTTGGACCTAAATTGGAGATTCAATAAGAATCATGAGACCTAGAGGTAGGGCTATAAATGAACTGATACACTTGATGAACAAAATGAATTCGGCTTTATTAATACTCGATCATGTTTGTTCAAATTAATAAATAAATAAGTTTTGATATTTTTTAAAACTCAAAAGTTAAATAAACCAAATTTGAACATAATCCAACTCATTTATTAATTTCGGCTTTATTAATACTCGATCATGAACATAATCCAACTCATTTATTAATGTTCACGAATAAGCTCCCTTGTTATTCAAGAAGAAATTGGTTAAAAGCTCTATATTTACATGATATATAATTCAATTAAAATTTGAATCATTAGAACTTATTTAATTATGTATTTAATATTAATATATTATAAGTTAATATCAATATGCATATATATCAAACATAATCGCTTCTTATTTTTTTATTTAAATGAACTAATTAATCAATACATATTCATGTGATGTGATTGAAAAAAAAAGTTACACTTTATAAACTATTTATTTTTTTGGTATAAATTAGTCGAATGCTAAACTGAAATTTATTCAGTTATTTATTTATCTAGATCTATAAAATCATTTTCTAATAATTTTTTATAAAAAATCAAGTACTAATTCGAACTTTTAGCTTGTTTATTAGTATTATATTTAAAATCAAATATAAATCAATTATTTTATTTTATATTTAAAATTAAGTATCGTTCAAATTATTAGCTTGTATAATTAACATAAATAGGTAAAAAATAGAACAAACATGATCATTAAAAAATTTAAGCAATTCAAGTATGAATATATATGTGAAAGATCAGCTCAAGCTCAAATTGAACATGACATTATGATCCACCGAGCCAAGTCCAATCCATGACATACTCGACCCGTCATGGCTCAATTATAACCTTACCTGGAGGACTCTTGAGTTCCAATATTCCACCACCTTCAAACTGTTTTTTACCTGACTAAAGCTTCCATCGAATTATCATCACTCAATTATTGTTGATATTGATGCCTAACACCGTCAAGCTACCACCATCTTTAAACCATTGCCAATTTTTTGTTACACTATCATCACCAACATATCAACCTAGTCGATACTCTTAGCTGCCACTATTAATGGATTATCATCATCAAATCGCCATCGTTTGTCCACTATTATAGAGTAAATTTTTACTATGGTCAATCAACCGTTGATGCATGTCGATTTTTGTTGCTTGTCAACACATAAGTTACGAACAACATCACTCGTAATCACTTATAAATCTGATGCATGTCATCATTGCTCAACATTGCCAATATATGTTGTTAATGCACGTCATTACTTATTAAGCCAATATATGTGATTGAAGCATGTTATTGCCTCTTATAACAATTTCGAAAGGCATGCCCAAGAGGTGGCCTTCTAGAAAGTTGGTAATGGCCAAAGTTCTCCCAACAAAAACTCTATGAAAACAAGTGGTTAACAAAATCTCTACTCACTAAAATTCCCCAGAGCTAAAAACCTCAAGAAGTACAGGTACATTATAATAACCTTAGAAGACTAGAAATTGTAAAAAATACAATTATATTAAAACTCTCAGAAGGTTGACAGTGTCAAAAAATACAAGTATATTCAAAAATCTCGAAAGACAAGCTTGAGGTAATATACATTAAAATATCAGTACCACGAGGAAACAAAGTCGGTCTTTTTTACTTATCTCCAAAAGTTGAAGTCTTCTATTCATCCAAAAACCTCATATGTGATGAGTACCACGAGGAAACAAAGTCATTGTACACTTATTCAAGGAATGAAAGAAAATCAGAGTTTGTCCATGGCAACAATGGGTCTCAATCATCTCCAAATTAGATACATTTGACAAAGGAAATCAACACTTCTCTCAAAGAAAAAAAAATGAAATATAGTTGTAGAAATTATAGAACTTGATCTCCTTCCAAAATGTCCATGAAGGAGGACAGCCTTATGCTCTTGGTTGAAATTAACTGGAGTTTATAAGAAGAACTACATTCCGCCTAGATAGGACTGTCGAACCCCTTTTAAGAGAGAGTTGAAGCTTACAAGAGCATAATGAGAAGCATCATTAATAATTATTAACAAGACATCATCAGTCCTTAATTCTTTATGAAATTCCCTTGTAACATCATCTTGTATAAAAATTGATTGGGGTTCTTTCGACATTGGGACTTCAAATGAAATATGCTCATAGAGAATCCCCAAATTCTTTAGTACAAGACAATTTGGTACATGAAATTCTTGCAGGAGAAGCATAACAACATCTTGAGAAAAATATTCAAACAATAATAACCTAAAGGAGCAAATCAAGCAACAAAAATCTGAAGATGATAATCAAGCAATAATAGCCTGGAGATAAAAAACTAATAACAACAGTTTGGAGATGATAATAAAAAAACAACAGCTTGGTGAAAATAATTGGCAACAACTAGAAAAAAAAGAGATGCAATAACAACTTGAAGATGATAATCAGGCAATAACAACATAAAAATAATAATAATACAGGTCTCTTAAGAAAAATTTTAAAGTTTGTGAAGAGGAGAAACAAGTGAATTCCACACATCCCTTCAAGAAGGTATTTATAGTTAAAAACCCAGTGTACTATAATAGTTGTAACAAAACTACTATAGGGGCATGTGATCAGGCATGTGTACGCCGACGTATGTTTGCGTAAGCATTCCAACGCATATAACACACACAGCCATGACCCTATACGCACATAGGCGACCTTGTGCACGCAAATGCAACAATACATGTGCCAGTGGACAAACGAGGGCCACTGGCTACACAAACAACCACATGCACATACATACAAGCGAATATGCCCCAACGCTCATCCCGCCACACCGTTGAACCTATGCATTCTTGCAAACATGTGCGTGAGCAAGCTGCAATTAGTAATAGCAACAACCCAAGCTACCATGGGCTCTGTCATGCCTATTCCTCCATTTTTCGACATTCCATACTTAATTTTGACCCTTGCATGTCTCATATAAGTCTTTACAATCAATTTTCGACAATTGAAGAATTTGAATATTTTTCAACAACTTATGGTTTGATCGAAGTGCCAATATTAAGAATAGTTAAAATTATAATTAAAAAACTTATTTGACTCACAGTTCCAAGGGAAGGTCATTATTGACATGTAAAAAATAATCACACCTATTAATATTTATGAAATTATCATTTTGAGTTACAAATTCTAACAAGAACTTAATACATATTTTTGGACGAAACAAATTCAGCGCTAGAAAATAGAAGGAAACTAATATTTCATCAAAAAATTCATAATCAAATAAGAATTTCAATGCATTTTGAATGACAACTTCATGAGTCAAATTAAAAAATTATTTGATCTCCAACATTAGCATATTTTATATGAAAATGAGCATCTTAATAAGATGCGAACCTAATGACACAAAAAGTAAATCAATTTGAGCTTAAATGAACCCATATCAAGCACTTGAAGTGTATAGTCACGATAAGAATTTGAAGCCAACGACCATAAACAATCTCCACCAATTACCACTAGTGATTGTAACCTAACCACTACTATTGTAGCCTAACTAATAATGTTATAATTCAACTATGATTGTTGTAGTCATATAGTTGTCATGGAATTATGATTGTCGATTTATTATCATAAGACAATTGTTACCTTAACATAATTCAGTAATCCAATATTCCTTGTTAAAGAGAAGAAATGCCTATACTTGCAATTACTTAGTGGATTACTTCGATCGGCTGCGATGTTTAAAATTTCTGATCCAAAATCAAGACGTAGCAAGGTGTAAGCCTTAAGCCTCAAAATTAAGAAATTACTAAAAAAAACATACTTAATTCAAAGTATGTAGTAAGAGATAACATATTAACACAATAACCTATCAATACATTAAAATATAATATATAAATATTTTCAAATAGTAAAAGTAATAAATTATTCAAATTAATAAATAACATGTTAACATACAAATATTAAATCATAAAATAAGTCATAATAATATAATAATTTAAAATAAGTTCGATATAAATGGTTTCTCTACCAATCCTATTGTCCTCCATAAACTTAAGAACAACACAAATCACTAAGGTTAGAATTTTTAAAATCAAAAGTTTTCATCACTCTTATCACTTAAAGAGCCTTCATTGGAATCATCAATATAGTGATTTGTTTCCTCCCTCATCTTATCCTCAATTATATTCATGTTCTCTTATCTAATTAATAATGATTCTTATTAAATTATAAGATAATGACTATGTTGATAGTAACAACTTAATTACATCATCAATTATATATTATTATATAGGTAAGCAATAAATGTTTATATGTTATTTCACTTACATTTATTTCAAGAAAAATCATAAATATAATTGCTCGCTGCCTCCTAAAATTTAGGTGAGGCATGTTTTGAGGTGGGCCTCATATTATGTGATGTGTAAGCCTTATTGCGAAGTATTAAGAAAAACATTGAGATGAGCCTCCAGGCAGCCTTATATTACACAAATTTAAACCACGGGCTATACTCCACGATTTTTTTTCTTCATTTTCTGAAATTTTCAAGTAAAAAACATATTTTTTCGTTATTTATATTTATGTGTGCTAGATATTTCTATTGAACTTAGAATTAAAATTTCTCCGCTTTGCAAAAACAAAAGAATTGCTTTAGTGTATGATTTTCAAGGCAATTTTACAGGTCCTCCTGTCAGCTCTAAAACCTTACAATAATTTATTATTAATAAATTTATTAGAGTTGTTTAGTTCAATACTATATAGAGAATTGTGTCATCCAAATAACAACATTATTTCAATAATAGCAACTATAAAAAAAAAACGGTTTGCTTAACTGCTATCTTGCTCAAATTTATTTTGGCAAACAAATAGCTCGGCATCAAAATCTCTGCCAATTCATCCAGCATAGAATCAGTAAAATATTCATATGATGTGCATATATCAATAAGGTGAAATAAACAAGATGAAATGAAATATAAGAAATAATTAAAATATATGCAATGCCCTGATCTCAAGGCCTGTTGGTTGAAAGCCTAAGCACTCAACCAACACGCTAAGATTGCTTGCATCAATTAAGAAGCCTGGCAAAAACATATAGAAATAATTAAAATATATTGGGAGATTTACATACATACCACTCAATTCTTGTGCTGTTACATATCTAACAACTAAAAGTTCATTTTTTAGGTATATGCCTCCTACCCATGCAACAAAAGTGTATTTCACTTTTTAGAAGCCAAAATAATGGTGCTTTTAATGTGGTGTGAAAAGTTCAGGTGGTATAAATGTAAAAATGTTATCAGTTGGCTATGTAAATACATAGGAATTGTGTGGTATGTATGCAAATGCCCCAAATACATTTCCCATTGTACCAGGGTTTTCTCAACATTGTACAGCAGAGTAAAGCAAAGCTTGCAGATTCTGCGGGCACCGAATTTAATTTTTTAGGTATATGCATCCTACCCATGCAAAAAAAGTGTATTTCATTTTTTAGAAGCCAAAATAATGGTACTTTAAGGTGGTGTGAAAAGTTCAGGTTGTATAAATGTAAAAATTGTATCTGTTGGATATGTAATTACATAGGAATTGTTTGTTTTTTTTGCAAATGCCCCAAATACATTTCCCATTGTATCAGGGGTTTCTCAACATTGTATAGCATAGTAAAGCAAAGCTTGCAGATTCTGCGGGCACCGAACCTCACAGGATCTTGCCTCGTAGTTCCTATGAAATGAAAGGGGTCAAGATCTCTATACAGTAGTTTCAAGCAAGTTACTAACGGATAATTCGGATCATATCATCCAGATTTATTTACAAATTCATTCAGGAAAAACCAGCCCTTCTGCATGAATAAACAGCAACAATCAAAATTCGCCCATCATCAAAGCCCTCGCCAACACGTCGCGATCTCCATACAGTAGATTCAAGAAGTTACTAACAGATAATATTCGGATCACATCATCGAGATTTAATTACAAATTCAGTCAGGGAAAAACCAGCCCTTCTGCATGAATAAACAGCAACAATCAAAATTCGCCCATCATCAAAGCCCTCGCCAACACGTCGATAATTCCGTTTTGCAAAATTACAGGACCGATCCGCACCAAATACCATCTCACAATGAAGATAAAAACAATCTACATTAATCTGCGCATTAAACGAAAAGCATAACCCCATATGCCGTCTAACCACTTACCTTCTCCGGATCCCCTCCCTTATCGGGGTGATTTTTGATAGCGGCTTTCCGATACGCCTTCTTGAGATCATCCTGAGACGCGTTTTTCGACACGCCGAGAATCTCATAATACCTCGTGTTGTCGCTCTTCTTCGGAGCCCTTCCGAACATCTTCCTTCTCTCTGTGAGTCCAACTAAAACCAGAGGAAGCAATCAACTTCTTGCCGACCGCAATCACCCGCTTAGGAACCGAAACCCTAACCCTAGTATTTCTCTCTCGTTGATCGGGGTTAAGGAAACGAAGGGGCTGCTGCGGCTGCAAGCAACAGCTGCAGCAGCAGCAGTAGCTTCATTTCTATTGCGTGGCGGAGAACAAAACGCGTGGAACTCGCGTTGAAAAAATGTGGACCCTCGGATGGAAAATGGAGGGCTGGATGCTGATCTCCTCTCTTCCATTGCTTTTTGATAGCAGTCCAAATTAGGGTTGTCAAAACTCTTTTTACTAATTAGGGCTGTCAAAATTTTTATGAGTATATATATAATTGATGAGTAACATTTTTAAAAAAAATAATTGAGTAGAAGCCTACGAAGATTTATAATTAATTAAAATTATTAATTAAAAATACATTAAATTTATATTTATATTTTAATATAAAAAGATAAGATTTAAACCTCGTTCTAACCCTTAACATTCTATAGTTGCACGACTTGTATTGTCAAAATGACTCTTTGTTCGCAAACAACTCATATTCGGCTCATTAAGCAAACGAGTCGAACACAAACATAATTTTTTGTTCTAAATATAAACGAGTCAAACACGATAAGTTATATTTTTTAATGAGCCAAACACGAGCTGAGCTAAAGCTCACTTATGTTTGACTCATTTACACCCTAAGTCCAAACCTAAAACAATTGCATTAAAATTTATTTATGCTTTTCAAAGTTTAATTTTATAAATTTTCTATTTATTTAATTTTAAATATTTATATTTACATATATTATATAGTTTTTTTTTTTTTTTTTGCATCTATTATATAGTTGATAATTATATGCTGAAATATTATGTAATTTTTAAATAGATAAATAATAATATTTGGAGGTTTTTACGAGATTCATTATTTACATGTCAAACATGATTAAGTATATTATTTAATTTCAATTATTTTGTGCATTATGAAATATTTTATTGTTTTTTTTATTATTTTGGATGTATTTTGAATGGTAGCTTGCTATGTTTTTACACAAAAATATTTAAAATTTTAGGCAAATTTAATATAGTTAGAAATTATGATAATTATGTTTTAATTAAGGTTAATGAGAAATTTATGTTAAACTTAAAAATTTGGGCATAATTTCTCCATCATTAGATTCATAAAAGTTGATTACATATTATCTTATAAATTTTTAAACTATTTCACCAACTAAGGTTTTGGCGCCTTTCAAAATGGGAATTTTAGTGTCAATTGACGTCGAGGACCCCCGCACTAGTGGGTCGGTTTGAACCCAAATTTTCCCGAAACATGCTCAGGAGAGTTTTGTCTCTGCCCTTGACCAAGGGAGGTTATGAATAGACGCAGTATGGTTTATATACACACACTAGTGGGTCGGTCTGAACCCAAATTTTCCCGAAACATGCTCGGGAGAGTTTTGTCTCTGCCCTTGACCAAGAGAGGTTATGAATAGACGCAGTATGGTTTATATACACCTAAATGTACATCAAGCATGTTTCATGTCAAAACCATCTTCTACATCAATTGTGTAAGATATAACTAGAAAGTTTGTCATTATTTTTGTCACCTCGTAGAAAATAATTTTACTCCTTATTCAAAGTTGTTATCCAACATTTCACATTGTCGATTATGTTAAGCATCTCATCCTTGTTGAGAATCATTAATTAATACTTGATTGAAACATCAATCTTCTTTTTTTAGCTTGAGAGGAACACCATCCAGATGAGATCACTTCTTGGGTGGAAGGTCGCTTCCTTAGTTGGTTCATCCTTGGAAGCCATTACATTCATGGAGCCAAATGGTGAGTAAAGAAGAAAGAAGAAGAGAGAGCGAGGGAAAGATGTTCACACCCCCTTTATGTTCTTAGCAAGAAACGAACTCCTTGGGATATGTCTTCTTCAAATCCTCTTTTTTAGGTCATCTTTGCTTGGACGAGTATAATAAGAAGGGAGAAATTGAAAGTGGACCAAAAAATAAGTAGAAAATAAAATGAATAGCTACAAAAATATTTATATAGAAAAATCCGCATAACACAAACTGGAGAAGAGCGATTCAAAGAAAATCAGATCATATGCGACCCGAGAGAATATATAAAAGTCTTTTGTAATCAAATTAGAATACAAAATCTAATTTGTATTTGTTATTGATTCAAAGAGGTCGTTTCACGACGATGTATTTGTTGGCATCACTTTTCGATGTCATATGTGTGGGCTATTCACTTGTACGATGCGGGACTATGTTCAGTCTTCTGTAGTCCAATAAACCCATTTGGACTTACCGGTACGTGTCTTGAGCATGGAACCAAGGTCGGTACCAATTTAGCCCCATTAGGGAGAATTCATCATCGGGGGACAATGTTTCTAACACGAAATGTAATTGATGTCCATTTAGGTGTTTATAGACCATACTCCGTCTATTTGGAACCTCCCATGGTCAAGGGCAGAGACTAAACTCTCCCAAGCATGTTTCAGAAAAATTGGGGTTCAAACCGACCTACCCGAAGGGACGGGGGGTGGGGGGTCAAGGACTTCTGTTGACACTAAAATCCCCATTTTGAAATTTTAGGAATGTTCACTATTTATAAACAAGGTCGTATTTTAGTGATACGCAGCTTTTCATAGTTTCTGAATTGGTCAAACCTTTCTACAAACAACTCGATGTAAAACTGAGATTTTGATCCCCAAGACGTATTTGACTCCGGGACGGCGATTTTCACTTGATGATGTGCACACTCGGTATTTATATAGATGTTGTAGAGCCCTTTTCACTCCTAAATAGTCTCTTATAGTCTAGGATCCATAAAACGCCATCCGTGCGAAGTTGCGCATACAGGAAGCAAGAGGCCCCCTTAAGGGGCTTGGGCGCTCAACCGCCACGGCTGGCACAAAAGCACCCACCCCTCAGTTTGGCGCCTCCTAAAGAGGCGCTACTTATTCTATGGATGCTCAAGGGCCCATGGTGAGTGCAAAAAGCATCCGTCTCTCTGTCTGTGATCAAATAGATAGCGATTTTGGCCTATGGGCGCTTAAATGCCTGTCTTGGGCACTTGAGCGCCTAATTTTCTTCGTGCGACATTCACCAAACCGAGACGGCTCCGCTTTTACACCATTATGGCTGCATTTGCACCTGATAGGGAAATGTCGTGAACCGAGCAGCTGGTGCTTTTGCTCCCTCTTTGACGCTCGAGTGGCTGACATTTAAAACACGTCTTTTAAAGCCAACAAATGATTTTCTTTGCCTAAAACCCATTGGATAAACCCCCATTTCACCTCATCACTATTTTAGGTAAGCAACGTCTATCCGTCGGGTGATGCAAGCAAAATGGGTTAAGCAGACGGAAATAACAAGAGAGAGGGGATCAAAATCATTTTGTCTAGAGGAGCCAGTGTAGAGCTGGAGGAGAGCAATGGGAGATTTTTGGAGAGCTTTTACTGATTTTGTGAGAAATTCTTATTGTTTCCTCATTTTCTTCTTCACTTTCTTAATCTTATTCTTCCTCACTATTTCTTGAATAGCCATTCTCATTAGGGAAAGCACCTGCATTTTTCTCTTTTTCGGTCGCCATCTCTCTGGAAAAGACAAGGGAGAAGAGGAAGTTTCTCGCTCAGAGCCTTATCGGAGCCTCCTTTTTGAGGAGAACTTCCTCATTTATGGGACAAGGACCTTCGTCGGATTTCGTGACGTCATCAGAGCCTCCACATGAGGAGGGCTTCATCGTTCTTTGGAGAAGAGCCTACGCCAAAGCTTGGAGCTTCGCCTATCTCTCTTACCATTAGGAGAGCTTCTTCCCAGACACCATTGGACATCGACCAACCACTGCGATGGTATAATCCTCCAAACTTTTGTATATTCGTTCCTAGAGCCCCCTAGGTCTGGTTGTTAAAGAATTAAAAATCTTGGTTTCGTGTGCTCAGAGGAAGTTGATAGGTTAGGGAGCCTTTCGTGGACTTTTCCATACAAATCTGAGCGATTTTCTTTAAGCCCTAGTACCAAAATCCCATAAAAGATGAGATTGTGTCAACATCGTCGTTTGTTCGGTGATTTCACTTGGATGGACAAGTGAAATCGAAGGATCGGGCGGATGACGATGCCCCTTTGGTCTGCATTCGCTTGATCGCGAAAAGTTCTCGTGAGTAAATCCTTTGCTATAAGTCGGGCAAACGGGTGGTAAGGTCATGTCGCTTCGTGCAATATGGTGTTGACACTTCTTCCATCGATTCAATCTTAGATCCCATATGAGATTGATTGAACAAGTTCGACCTGCGAATTACATCATGGGGAATAATTAGAAAACCTCATAATAAAAAGTGTAGTATTTGCTCAAAATACACCAAGAAAATATATAGCTAAGAAGATTTTTGACAAACCCAATAGGAAAGATCTTATAGTCATTAGAGCAGAACTAGACCATCTAGTAGGGAGTAAATCACCAAAACCTGGTGGGTAGACACCGTTGAGCTAAGAGAACTTATGGTACTTGTTTATAAAAGACTCGACAAAAAAATGACAGTCCAAAATGGGATAGATCAACAGGTAGGATGGACAAATCCTAGACATATAGAGATAGTCTGGTCAAGGTTTCATGGTCTCATGCTCGCGAGCTATTTGGATCCCATGTATACTAAGTCGTGAGCGTAACCAACCCAACCTAGTTGGGAATTACTTCATGTACAACCCATGTGTGGCATGGTCTAAAATAATCTAGTAGATCTGAAGTCAAATGAAAGAAATGTCTAAGGTCTCATGACTATATCTAGACCAAAAAAATATAAGAGATTATATTTGGACAAGAAAATTACATAGATAGGAGCAGACAACTAAGCTTTAAAGCTAAACTGCCTAACAAAGGGCTTACAATCTCATTTGAATAAAAAAAGCCTCTAACACTATATACCATACTAGACAACTACCTAAGTGTATAAAACATATGTTGGGTGAGTTAGTTTGAAAAATAAGAATACTTTACTCACAAAATGCAATA